CGAGCGAGGACAAACAAGAAAGCCACACCCCTCGGCATCCCGCTTCTGTTGTAAACAGCAAGCCCCATGATTGCCGCCACCAGCCCTAAGGACACCGACACGCGTGCCTGGGTTCTTTACTAAGAGCAAACGCATCAATATCCGTAGTTAGCGCATACTTATTTCGATTAAAAGTCGCTGCTGTATGTACAAAAGGAGAGGGAATATAAATATTTTCTGTGTGTCGCCGCCGTGGGGGGCGGCGAAACGCCGCAGTTGTGGGGCAGACGACAGCTGATGTAACATGGTCCGCCTGCAGTTAGAACAAGAATATTCGTTTGGCCTTGGTAGGTTGCGTGCAAGCAAATATAAGTGCTCCGTAAGTGTATAAAGAGGTAAAACATGCAGTACGGGGAGCTTCGTTGTAGCTGCATTTTGCTCACACATCCGGCTAAGTTGCATCGCCAGTTGCAGTGAACTGCACTGCAACTTCTGTTAGGCTGCCTCGTCCCCCACAACACCAAGCCTAGAGGTGAATACCCAGGATGGCTGGAGACAGGGGAAGGGGTGTCAGTTGCTTTGGGAAAACTATTAGCTCAACTCTTTGGCTCCATTGAAGCTCGCTTTAATCCTTTGACACTGCCGTGAAGTTACGTTACACTTGTTAATACCGCATAGTTTATTGAGGAAGGTGGTACAAAGGTATCCCAGCATTGCAGAATGGCCACATGCATAACTGGAAAAAAATAAAAAAGAAATATTTTCCTTTCCTTAATCAAAATCTCCCAAATTCCCGCCGTTTCCGTCCCGGCAAATGGAGATTGATTATGATTCGCCCGCAGGTGGGGCGGAGAGAAAAGGTCTGCGGCCTCTCCCAGCAGAATTAATATCTATGTCAGCAACTACCCCGGGGTAAACTGCATTTTCACCAAAAGCTATTTAGGAGGAATGTCTCCGACTGCGCCGACCACCGCGATATGATGGTCGCCTGGACACTGAGGCAGTTGAGAAGTTTCTTGTCCTCTTTGACTTCTATTCTTGCCTACAAAGTGCACCAGAAGAGATCTGGCTACTATTGGCTTCCTCTTAATTAGAAAGGGGCGTACGACGATGGTAGTTGCACAGAAGCAAATGCTTTGCTTTCCCGGAACACATCAGCTCAACGAAGTTCTTCCACGATGTGCTGCTGTGCAAATTTATCCAGCGATCTGCAAAGGGAGCTCGCTACAGCGGAACTGAGAAAGCTTAAGCAAAGGAAGCTGCCGATATAGTGTTCCATCGAGAAGTATCAGTGCTTGGTGAATAGAAGTCCTATAGTGAACCCGGAGCTGCTCACATGGCCATGATGCGGGACTTCTGTGTTCGTATATTTCACTACGACATAATCCTATTCATGCTGTTGCTTTCTCACTACGAGAGTTCGCAAGTCCTCTTAGTGTAAGCAATGTTCCAGGGTGAAATGATCGTGGTGTGTAACTGTAACACAGCGCGTAGGCGCTGCCGGAAGAGACGGGAAGTGCGTGCAATCAGCCGTGATGACGGGCGATACGTGTAGCCAACCGCGGTGGTCTGACGAAGACCGCTGGTGTTCGGGGGGATTAGGTCCAGCTAGCATCCAGGGGACAGAGCATAGGGCTTAGTTGAAGGGGAGTTGTCAAACGTACTAAATAAGAAGGAACTTCCAACAACCCATTGACGCATCTGCGTCGACTTCAAGCCGCTCAACGCAGTCGTGGAGAAGCAAGTTTCGGATTCCCCGGATCGATGAAACACGTGACCACTTGCGGGATTCGACAGTCCACTCATCCAATGACGTCGGTGAAGCTTTGTTGCAGGTCCTCAAACATGCCGACGATAGGCACTAGATTGCATAGCATACACGCATGAGAAAAGCGGAGTTTATTTGTATGCCGTTGGGCCTGGGGAGTGCATCTGCCGAACCGAAACGACAGGCCACCCATGACTTCTTGGGCTTAACCAATGATAGCTGGGTGGGTATATGCATTGACTGCGTGCTTATTCAGGAAAACTTACAGCACGTGCAGCAAGCGTTGCAAAATGTGTCTGCACTCCATGCGGAAAATTGGCCTAGAGTTTCCCGCCTCTGCAGCACGAGCCGAGGCGGATCCGGTGAAGACCGACCAGCCTTTTTTCCTAATATCCAATGCTCGTGACGAAGCGCTCTCTCAGCAGTCGAAGAGCTCGAGAAAGCACAAAATAATCGCCTCACACAGTTGCAAGTAAGGAGAGAAGAAGCATCTGACGCGTGGAACGCATCTGTAGGCAGTCTGGTAGGGTGGAAAGAGGTGTTGAAACAATTTCTATGACGCACAATTCACTGTTCAAACCATGCTGTGCTACCAAGTGTTACAAGAGTTCTGGATCTTAGCGGGGGGATGCCGTTGGCTGCAACAAAGTCCAAAGATGCGATACTCGACTTCGTAGAATGATCCTGACCTCCACTACAGTAGCCACGTGCCGTGGGCGCAAAAATCCAAGGGACTGTGGCTGCTGCGAAGCGGAGGCAGATTCTGTCGTGTGGAGCAGTGCACAGTCCTGCAGCACCTTCTGCAAGGCAAACCCGCATGAAAGTATACCCGAGCTCTCCTTCGATGCATGCACCAACGCTCGAGGCAGTCGTTACATAGTTACTTGCCCCTCAGTAGCCAGTCTGCATGAAAGTAGAAACTCATGTACCAGCCTCAAACAGAGCATGCTTCACGTTGGATCTTCTGCCCCCCTGCACCATGGGAAACACCAACTAGACCAGCAAGCACTGTTCATGTTTGCTTTGGCTAGAGCAAAGATAAGCCTTAGTGCCCCTGAGAGGTACTTAAGCTGGCTTTTGTTTTTATTACAGTGGGCAGAAAGTTCAGCATGCGATGCAACTGTCAACTAGAGGTTGCAAGGCCCGCGGAAAGGAACCAAGAATGAAAATAATAAAGTTGAACAGCGAAGAATGTAAACGAGGAAGCGGCATATCTCGAAGAGGCGCTTGGGTTCGTCCAGAACAAGTGATGAAACATCGGAGCAACTTGTCTGGGTTTGCAGCATCCGGTAAGCT